GGAAAACAGTTACTATACAGACATTAAGCAAGCAAGAGATAGCCATGTGCTCTTTAATTGCATCTATACTCTATAAAACATACCTGCTAGTTTCCTTTAGTAGAAGTATATGTGAACTATTTAATATATAAACTACTTTATATATGAACTGGCTACTGCAATTTCATAGAAACCCTGATGTCAATTATCTTTCATCTTTGTAGCAGGGGACTTTTGCAACTCAGACACTTGTGGAACAAATTTGGCTAAATGTGTTGCTTTACATAGCACTTCTATCTGCCTGTGCCAATATGGATTCTACTACGACAACAAGGATTGTCACAAAGGTGAGTTGCAGAAGGGCCATCTATATATTTAGGTACCTCACAGATTACTGCTCAGGTGGATTTTTCTTCCCATATCCCTTGTTCTCATGTTATAACTGAAAACATAATCAAGTCTGGGAAAGTGACTGCTGAACAATGCCTTGCTTTGCAGACAGCCACTGCTACAATGACCTAGACTGTTATCTCACAAAACAGTAACAGCCAAAGGGGTTAATGTGCTAGGAAAAAAGGTGAGTTCTCTGTCAGGGGTGCTGGAGATTAAAGTGAGTGAAAAGCAGGCAAAAATGCAAGTGTAAGCCTGATGTCAATATTAATGGCCAGGATTTAAAAAGGCCCAAACCCATGAAGACCTCTGAACAACTGGCTTGATTTTCCCTGTTGCTAAACACTCATCACAGTCCTGTTGAAGCGCGTCTCTGAGATGCTGCTAACAGTGAAGTGTGTGAGCAAATGGGGCTTCTTATGTAAGTGCCAGCAGGCAGAATTCTCAAATTTACTTGTGAGCTGAAAGAAGCAGGTAGATACTGAATCACTTCCTCAGGTATGGTGAACCACATTAGCTGCTTAGTGGCTGCAACTGCAGATTTGAAGTCCTTAATATAGGTATTTTCTCACTAAATGCTGTAACACGTCAGATGGAGTCTTTTGGTAGCTTCAGGCCATGCTTACACTTTAATGTTATTCAGTTTCATGGTCTGGCCAGTTTGGTTGAGCCCAGTATCCTGCCTGCTTCCCGGGTAGCTAGACTATGTCCCCCATTGTGGCTGAATTGATTGAGTAAACATTTGTCCCCTCCTGATTCCTCCAGTATATGAAAAATAGCACTGATTGATTTCTGCATTGTATTTCCCCATCTCTGAAGGCTGGAGGACTCTAAGGTGATACCTGACTGACTTGAATACTTTCTAATTAATTAATGTTCTCTGTTCTCATTCCAGGGAAAATATTCCCAGGGGTCATTACGGTGAAGGAATCATACACTGATAGTGTTCAAACTGTAAATTCTGTGCCGTATGAAAAGTTGTTCCAAAATGTAACAAAGTTTGTAAGTGACAATTTTTTAAATGTTTTGTGTATATTTAATGCTTTCCTGAATGTCATGCAGACAGAGGGTATACATGCTGCCTTTCATGTGGAGCCTAGGCTGGTTTCACTTGAGAAATCTACTTCTTTCAAAGAACACTTCACACTAGTTTAGACTTAAATTTTGCCCTCAGATGAGTACGTGCATGGCTCTTGCTGAAGCGAAGGGATGAAATAAGTAATATCTGCATTTTTAGTGCCACTTCTATTCAGGGAAGTTATCACAGAAATTGCTCTGTATCTTTCACCATTCCCTTTCCAGAAACCGTGGAGCTGAGTGAGTTTTCCTATCCATTTATTTTCTGATCGCCGCTGTTTGCTGAGCATTCAGTAATGCTCAGCGGTATGAGCAAAAATGAACTTTTTTTTTTTTTTAAAGAAAGCTATCATGTGCACACAGCACAAACTTTTCAGAATGGCTTTCTGGCTGTGTCTAAATACCTAAATAATAAGCCTCTTCCATAAGCATACCAGTATTAGTATTTTAATGCTATTAGTGGAATGGATATTACACATTTTGAGCATTCTAGGATTATACATAAAATCTTGTAATGGATTTCCTGGAGAAATAAGTTGAATGGTTTAATTTATACTGCTATTTTGAAGCAAGTGGATTTGTTTATGTCACTTTCTGGAAGGAAGAAGAGGTATGCAACTCTACGAGACAGCTGATCAAAAAATATTCACCAAATATTAATCAGAATTAATGAAAACTTGTTATCAAATTCTTCATGTTATTATATTGCTTCCTATGAATGTTTTATCGGAAAGTAACCAAAAATTGTCCCTCCAGAATGTTAAAAAATATTTTCCTCAATTCTTTTGTCCAACATTTTTTCATAACATGGCTACAGAAGTGCATGATATGCAGCACTAGAATAAATATGTAATAGTACGCCAAAGTGAAAATAGCATAGAAAATAATTTTTATTTTATTACAAGGAAGGGTAGTTTATCTTTCATTTCATAAGACTTAGACATCTTATCCTTTTCTAATGGTGCCCGCTGCTTGTGTGGCAGTTGGAGGCAGCTGCCTCCACCAGTTGTTCCCTGCTTCGCATGGGATGAGGGAGAGCAGTGACTTTTCTACGGACCCCATCCAACCCCCAGTGCTTTCATCAGAGCTGTGCTTCTCCCCACAAGATCAGCCCCTGACGATCCCACTTCACTGCACCTTAGGGACACATGCCATCTGTAAGGATGCCTACTTCTCTCTCTTTCCTCTACTTGTACGTAGGTTGGTACCGCGGAGATGCCTAAGCGATGAGTCTGCAAGGGAATAGCTGTAGCTGTCCAGCCAGTCAACCCTAATGCACTGCCCGACATTAATTCAACTCGTGTCTCTCTACCCCTCCACTGCTCTCCTGTATTCCCTGTTTTACAGCACCACACCACCGCTCCTCTTCTGCAATACCTTGCACAGTGGATGTGACAGATCAGCTTGCTTTATTTGTGCCTATAATAGCATGTTCTGGATTAAAACTTTACAGCTGAAGCCTCAGTGCTTCATGTGATTTTGGTCTATGTTTCTGCTTGCCTTTAACTCCAATTCATTTCTCTTTTACAGTTTGAGGAAGCCTTCAGCAATTTAACAGGCTTTGCAGAGACTGTCATTGTGGAAATTCAGTAAGTTTGCCAGTTTGGTTTTTGTACTGTGCGTGCTTCCCACACACCCCATTTTAATCTGTTCCCCATGGAGTACTCAGTTCAAAAAAGAATATGGGATGAGCTCAGTTCAGTAAGCTTCCTGTTAAATGAAGCAATTCTTTCTGTATTTTTAAAGTTTCTGGGATGCTGGTCCCATTCTTACACCATGGATTTCCAGTATGTCTGTGAAGTGGGCTGGCTGAGACAGCTCCACAGCGGATCTCCCACTTTTAGCACCATGTAGGAAATAGTACTATATTATAACTAGCAGTCTCTGTGATATCTGACATGCCTCTGAAATTGTAACACTTAACTCTGAGGTTCCTATGAACAGGTCCAACTTGGAGTCCCAGTTTAATTTAAGAAACACCCTCATTGCAGAAGCTCACTGCATCTCATTGTGCATTTGCTGGTCTCTCCTGATGGCAGGCTGGGCAAAGATGTTATTGAATGGGCTGTGGTGACTGTAGCTGTGGGCATAGGTCCTTTGCTGATCTAGGCGGACACTGTAAGATGTCCCTCTCTTCCCATCCCCATCTGTTACAGTTTACTGCCCCCAGAGCTCTGCCAGCTTCTCTGTGAGTGCTCCCTAACCCACATCAAGCAAAACCTGCCATGCTAGCACACACAGCAGTGTAAACCCTTTCAGCAAACCCCATGGATTAAGCAGTTAAGCAGACTGTTGTTTTATCAGAGTTGTGAGGGCAGTAACTTCCAGCAGAGTGGTTGTGACAAATACATGGTGCACAGTAACAACTTAGGGCACCACAGCAATCTACCACTTAAAGATATTTGTGTGCATATCCCAGAAGCACGAAGTTCAGCTGAAGAACAGCATCGTCACTGCTGTTCTCTACCTCACCCCAGGGAGACAGCTGTCCAGCAGAACCCAACCCAGCTAGCATGCAGTTAGCATAGATACCTCTACATTGCAAAGAGACCCTTCTGAATTCATTGCGGTCATACCCTGAATTATCCTCACCACACTCCAAGATGGGTTCTCCAAGTCATCATGCCTGCATGACACCACAGACTGATGCGAGCATGTAAAAGTTAGAGTCTAACAGATGAGGTCCTCCACTCTGCAGCTGGCTTGAGGTTAGCCTGGTAAAAAAAAATATCAGTTGTGTGCCAACAGCACATAGAGGAGTGATGTTGTTAGCATTAAATCCAACAGCCTTTGCTTACCAGCTACCTATTTATATCTGGATCTACTGGAAAGATGGCCATTAATGTATTCCTAAGCAAGACTTGAACTCATTTTCATGTGTCTTAGCAACTACCTACATTGTGGAATGAAAGAAGCTAGGGGAGAGGGGAGGTTTGGTAGAAATCTTATCTTGTCTTTGCATCTAGCTTGCTATCCATATGAATTATATGAGACTTTAAAATGATGTTATCTGTACTTTTCAGACCTCAAAGCCAAGGCAGAGCTTCTCCTCTGATGAGTGTAACGGTGACAAACCTGTTTATGGAGAATTCAACTGAAAACAATGAGACAGTTAGTTCTGCAATAAGGAATGCAATAAATGGTTCGTTCTATGTCTCTCAGTACAGAGGTATGTAATTCCTTACTGTGGAAATAAATGATCAGCAGAAACAGAGGTTCCTATCTTCAAAGCTGGTTAGAACATTTCTGTGTGCAACAAAGCCCATCAGAGCATAAACTTTGTTGACTTTAAGGAGCTGAATGTTCAATCTTCGGTATAACTTTGAAGACTCAACCATTCAGTGCTGGGCTTTTTTGTCTTATTAAGGCTTTCTATTTCCTGTGTAAAGAAGAGAAGGAAAATACTTATTCCCAAGTAAGCAATGGCATATTGATTTTAATCTGCTGGGTGTTAAGTGGCTGGAAAAATCAGGACAAAATATGTACAGACATATATTGTGCTTCTGAGAATAAGCCAGTATTTTACTGGCAAAATAGGATGAAACTCTCTTTAGACTTCTTCTTCCATAATTAACCATGGTAATTGAAATGAGACCTCACTGATTAGCTACTAAGTGATTCATTGGTCTAAACCAGTAAAGTCTGCGTTACTAGAAGTGTAATACTTGGAGAATGTTTTTTGTAAGTAACGTAAGGATTTTTTTCCTCTCTTTTTTTTAATATACTCCTATTTTGAAATCAGCTTTCACAAAAGGCATAGCCAATAATTAAAGGAGTCCATTTCATGGTTTATAGCCTGAGTTTGGTCTCTGAAGGTGACTGTATCCACCTCAACCATGACATTTCCTGTGTGCTAGTCCTAAATGTGAGGGGGAAATAGAAAAAACCTGAGGGCTCACAAAACACCAGTGCAATCACATCCCTCCACTGCATGCCACCCACTGAGGTTTGTAAACCATTCCCACCACTGGGACATGGATCTAACGAGCAACGTGCTGGGCAAACAGCATACTAATATTGCTCATGAAATGAGCTGCATGCCCATAAACATTTATATCTATGTAGAACTGTATGGGATCTGTGCCCCAAAGTTCAGTTGTAGAAAAACCGAAGGGAATAGTGCTGGGGTTTTTCTATAGTTTTTTTAAGGTGAGTCAGAGAGTCAGTGTTCAGAATATGAACTTATGGGTAGGATTTCCCTCTTCATGGACTGGGGGGCAGGAAGGTTTGCAGGCAGTTGCTGGGAGGTGGAGAAACAGAAGGTCAGAAGATGGGATGGAAACAAGACCTTAACTGGGAAAGAGCAAGGGAAAAGAAAGGGCTGGTCCAAAAGTCTGCAGTATCGATGTCCCCAAAAAAAGGACTTACAAGTTTTCTTCAGAATTGCTAAATAATTGGTTTATGATTTCCTGAGCAAGTGCACTGCTTTCTATGAAATAATTTTATTAGTCCTCAGTTTGCTTCCTGACTGTTTCTCTTTTAAAGGTGCAACCTACTGTGCTGTGTATAACTGTGATGCCCGTACCACAGTCTGCGAAGAAAGTATGTTTCCAAAATGCATATGCAGAAGTGGTTTCACAAAGACAGAATGGGATGATCGTTCTTGTTCGGGTAAGAACCTTGCTATTTTATCTATACCTGAAAGATTGACCTGATTATTCCCTGTCTTAGTCCCTTTTTGAAAAGGGCGCTCTGCAAATGTGTCAACCTCTAAAAATCAGGGAATGTGTCTTATTAAGAATGCCATAGAAACACATTCTTACATTTCACTTTAAACACATCCCTAATTCTATTCCAGTAGAATAAACTACTAAAGCCTGAGAAAATTATCACTGAAAACAGTGAGAGGGCAACTCTTTAAATACTCTTGATAAGAATTGAAACCTAAATAGGTAAAGGATGGAACAAGTTGAATCCTATATTCAGAGCCTTTTCTGCTAGGATATAGTCTGGGAATAAATTCTACATGCTATGTGGGGACAGCTATGGGGATGCTGACAGAACTGGAAGTCTCATGATGCACTACAATGATCTGTTAAATGTGTCCCTTGTTGGTAGTTCTACAATTGCATTACCTGTATTTAGACAGGTTTTTGTGGAAAGAATGATTTATATGATTTTTAGGAACTGTTAGTTGTTGGGGTTTTATTTGCTTGGTGGTTTTAAATCTTTTAATGAGTACTCTGTTTGTATTTTTAGCTATCCTCCACAGCCCTGAGATGTACCTTATTTTCTGCTTATGAAAACTAAAATTTTCACACTACAGAAAAAAAGCCTAAGAAATGAGATTTTAAGGAAAACAACAAATATTGCAAACACTCATGATATAATCATGAAAGCTGGCTACAATAAAGGCCAGTGAGATGTGATCCAGTGTTGGACTTTGAGGCCCGTAATCTGTCTAAATCTGATCCAGCTTTAGATAAGCTGCAATACAAATCATCTGCTCTGAGATCAAACTGCAGGTCATTGCTTGCCTATGTTAGATGCACCCTAGCCACATTTCCATTCTGATGAAGCTGGATGGTTTAAACAAAGACCATTTACTTTTAAATTTGTGCTTTTGTATTTCAGTTTCTGTTCTACATAGGCCATTCTGGTGCTCTGAAACACAACAAAGTTGTGTGTGTTTACAGTACAATAAAAAAAAAAAAAAGAGGGGGTGGAATTTTCTCCAGTGTGGATTTTTTTGGGGCTATCTTCAATTCACTAAATACAGATTGCAGTAAAGACTGTTCTGAAAAAGAAAACAAGTACTGTGTAAACGAAAATGGGCTTCCAGTATGCAAATGCATGCCTAACTTTGAAGAGAAGAAAGAAAAATGTGTATCGTAAGTACTCAGCTTTTTCTTGTGTTCCTGTGTTCTAGGCAAAGGTAGGGGAGAAGAACAACTAACATGGGCTCACCTTCAATCTAGAAGAACAACCTGCAGCTATGTGAATCAGAGAGGTGCTTAAGGTGGCTAGCAGGTGGACAAATTCACATGGTGTCACAAGTTATGGCATTTTAACTGCTTAGCATTAGCCATTGGTGTGCACTCATAATACCTCAGAGGAAAGTCATGCAGATCCAAGATCATCTGTGAGTCAGTAAAGAGGATAAACTACTTCACGCTTGTTTTGTGGGTTGCCCACATAAACATAAACTATTCCCTCAGAGTAACTGAGCCATGGCAACTGGCATGCAGAAGCATTTAGTAAGCAACAGGCATTGGAGCAAGACTTGCCTCAAATCCCTGGAAAGTTTCCACTGATATCACTGGGGACTTTGTTTCCTGATAATTTTCAGACCTATGTTATTTCATCTTGGTTTTCCCTCTGTGGGTATTTCTGTCAGCTCAGGATCGGAACAGAGCAGTGTTGTTTGCAGGTGAAGCTGAGCAGGTGACTGTGCTCTGCTTCCATGGATAAGCAGAGGGACCTTACTCCCCCCATTTGTTAATTCAGCTCTTTTTGTGGTTATTGCTGCTATATGCTTGTCCTGGTTTTGGCCGGGATAGAGTTAATTTTCTTCCTAGTAGCTGGCATAGTGCTGTGTTTTGGATTTAGTATGAGAATAATGTTGACAACACACTGATGGTTTAGTTGTTGCTAAGTAGTGCTGACACTAGTCAAGGACTTTTCAGCTTCCCATGCTCTACCAGGTGCACAAGAAGCTGGGAGGGGGCACAGCCAAAATAGTTGATCCAAATGGGCAAAGGGACATTCCATAGAATCATAGACTCATAGAATGCTTTGGGTTGGCAGGGACCTTTAGAGATTATCCATCCCACCCGCCCTGCAGTGAGCAGGGACAGCTTTAACCAGATCAGGTTGCTCAGAGCCCCGTCCAACCTGACCCTGAATGTTTCTAGGGATGGGGCCTCCACTACCTCTCTGGACCACCTGTGCCAGTGCTTCACCACCCTCATTGTAAAAAATGTCTTTCTTATGTCTAGTCTAAATCTACTCTTCTTTAGTATAAATCCATTATTCCTTGTCCTGTCACAACAGGCCTTGCTAAAAAGATTGCCCCCATCTTTTCTGTAGGCCCCCTTTAAGTACTGAAAGACAGCAATAAGGTCTCCTCGCAGCATTCTCTGCTCCAGGCTGAACACCCCCAACTCTCTCAGCCTGTCCTTGTAGGAGAGGACAAACCATATGATGTCATGCTCAGTATAGAAACTGGGGGGAGTCGGCTGGGGGGCAGCGATCGCTGCCTGGGGACTGGCTGGGTGTCAGTCAGCAAGTGGTTGCATCACTCATTTTTCTGGGTTTTGTTCCTCTTTTTGTTGTTTTCCTTTTCACCATTTTTTTTGGTAAATTTTATTTCAATTATTAAACTGTTCTTCTCTCGACCCATGAGTTTTCTTGCTTTTGC